TTGAATTTTATCCATCTCTTCGAACACGATGAAGTGGATAATTCCTCTGAGTGATCAACTATTATTCATCACTCGGTATCGTCCCAGGCGACAATTTCCATTGTATTCATGTTGCCGGGTACGTAAACTTCTCATGCCATATTTGAATGACGTTATTGATGGGGGTCGAGAGAGTTCCGAAAAAACACAACGTGAAATCTATATTCTGGTCAACGAAAACCATTGCCAAGGGTCAACCGGGTCAACCGAGGACCCCAAAAGGCTTTTAACACTACCGTGGATTTACCGGATTCCTTGGATCAGTTTTCATTGGAACCAGGAAGAAACACATGGGAAGTTGTCGTCTGGCACATTCCGACCAATCAGCATGCGGAACAAGAACTTAGAAAAGGCACTCACTTTATTGCGTTCGAAGAGACGCAAGTGCTCCATAGTATATAGAGATAGTACCGTAGACTGCATAGAAAGGTGCTAGAAATTCACGCTAGAGAAAGAGAAAATTGGCAATGAAATGAAGGGTACAGGGGAAGAACGACAATAGTCCATTCGGACGGATTTCAAGAAAATGGAAAATATACGTTTAAACACTTGTAAGAAACTAATATGGAAAGAAAATTAGTCACAAACAACATTTTTTAGTAAATAACATGTTTTTCATTCAAAAATATAAACAAAATCCACATTTATTCAGAACTAATGACGTAACAATGAAAAAATAATATTTAGGCATGGACACATGCCACTTTTCCCTGTATCAGGTGTCTATTGGAGGGTCATCCACAAATTCGTCATCGCTCTCTTCAGGTTGTTCGGCAAATATTACTTGTTGATAAAACACTCTGGCTTCTGCTCTCTGAAGGAATGCAGTCAGCTCTCGCAAATCCTTCCATTTGAGTTTTTTGACGGGGAATGGGCAGTGATAAAGTTTTGCCAACCTCTTCATTTCTCTGATTCTTTTTCTTTGGTTCTTCGTAAGTGGTTTTTGGTAAAATTTAGAACATACATAAAGACCACAATATGTGGTTTTGTGAAACACCAACGGGGATTCTCATTACAAAACTTCAGCATCCTGATAGACCGAGTCGTGAAGGGGCACTTCTTTAGATAAAGCGGTGATAAAAATGAACTCCAATTTTGAAGCAAAAAATTTTTGCCACAGTCAATCACTTCGAATGGTGTAGATTTCCCCGATAATTTCCTAATTCTTCTCTCCAGTCATATGGTACCTCAGTGTATGCTTATTGATTTACGAGGTTCATGTCTCGATCACATTCGAGGTATGAATGCCCCCTCATCGGAAATATCACTTTCACAGTATCAGAATGGTTCTTATTAGTGACCAAGTAATGCAGGAATCGAATTACAGTGAAGTTTTTATTTTGTCCTGCGCAGGAATCACAAAAAATTGCCAGTTCTTTCACTTTCATGAGAGGATATTATAAAAGAAGTGATACAGCATAGAACAAACGTCGTCAGCTACTTTCTTAGCAACAGTTTCATCCTAGGTGTAAAATACAGATCTTGAATTTTTTGGAAATCTATGGCAAAACTTTCCATACTGATCGACTTTCCGGCATTTTTGCTGTGATTTTTCTTACAACTGTAAAATTGCTCACTTTTTCTTAGAAGTAGCTCTTTTTCACGTATTTTTTTCTCCAAACCATCGCTTGCTATTTTACTGGTGTTATCATCCGAGGTGGAATTCAATGTTAGAGTAACTGAAGATATGTCGTGTTACACGTGCTACACGTGTCTTTGCGTGGATACCCAAATGAAACATTAAAGTTACGTTCGAAAATTCCTTGGAAACTTTCGTAGGAAAGCTTATTATCAGTGTTACGATCAGAATACATTTTGTGCAATTTGACGATATTCAGGTCTTCAGACAGATACATTTTTTTCGAGTATGTCAAGGAATAATGTGATTTGCGCCCTTTAAGACTCTTAATTAACTCGATCACTTTCTGTTTTGTGTCTTCTGAAAGTTTGTTAGGTCGTGTATTGTGTTTTCCACGCATGTCGATGGGTGATTTCCCAGCAAATACTCCATGAGGTATCTAGCTCGACGACCTGTGATTCCATGTAAAGACAATAAAGCATTAATACAAACTGGAACATCACGAGTAACTCCATCCTCAATCAGTTGAACACGATAGCTGAATGAGGCGTTATTAGGCCTTGATTCTATTTCATTTTTCCGAGGACGTCTATGCATGCTTGGAAGAAATGTGATCAGGCCACTGAGGTACGAGTTTTAGTGTCACCTAGTTTGTTGAATTCTCGAGGGATTCTATGGCGTTCAGGTTCTGGAACAACAGTGAAACAGCGAAAACGTTTACAAGAACAGTCAGGACCCAATTCATGTGTAGCAGCCAGCAAAGTTTTCATAACATCTCGGCTTCTACCTGTATCGACACTATTCATTGTATGTACTTGCTGTATAACACTATAACAATAATTCAACTGGTGTAGCTTATGCTATTAGCAAAATGTATGTTTCTATAATACAACAATATGCACTTGGCTACAAAATACACAAGAATAAATTAATGGCTGTACGGCGTGTACTCATCCTGCCGGCAAGGACTGATGCCGTTTTTCCATACACGGTCGCGGACTAATGCCATTCTTCCCAGGTATAGGCAATCTTGTTTCTGTTGTTTTAAGGACCTGAGCTACTTTTACCATTTAACGATTTCATCATCTGATATGTACTATAATACTCCATGAAAATAAACTGTACGCTCACTTTTGCATGAAAATGGACTGATGCCGGTTTTCCCCTGAACCCTTCAAATATGAACTCAGTTGATCTTGTAATAAGTTATTTAAATCAGTAGAAATAAATTCATCGCAGAACCAAACCAATTCTTCAGTATCTATTTGGAGGACCACGAGAACCCGGACACAGTGGTCGTTTTATTTTCATTACTTTCTACACATGTGTAAAAATACACTGATCCCACTGTATATGTTTGATCGGTGGGTTGACTGTCCTTGTTCATCTTTCACTGCCTGAACCACTGTGCATGCTGTTTTCGACGAGTGCATTGGCTTGGGATATGAGGGTTGAGCAAATCATCATCGGATGCCTGCTTCCACGTAGCCCCGCTGGATACGGAAATAACAGAATCACTTGTGGTGATTTTACGACTCCAACTGACCTCCCTGTAAATTTGGTTCAGGAGTGAGTCTACAGGGGAGATGAATGTCAAGTTTACGACTCCAACTGACCTCCCTGTAAATTTAGTTCAGGAGCGAATCTACAGAGGAGATGGATGTCGAGTTTACGACTCCAACTGACCGCCCTGTAAGTTTAGTTCAGGAGTTGAACTGAACTAAATTTAGTAAATTTAGTTTAGTTCAACTCCCCAACTCCTGATCCAATAATTGAACCTTAAAAAAAGGTTTGGTGGTGCAGCCAGGAAACGACTGAGTCGTCTCCTCAAGAGCAGGGTACCTTATAAAACTGCCTTTCACCAAATTATTGAGCGGCGTACGCAGAATCTATCTCAGGTGGGGGAACAAACCCTTCTTGAGTAGGTTAGCAAACGTTTGCGCTCAAAACCAGAGGCGAAAAAGCCCTGCACGGTTGAATCTAAGGCATCGTCAGGTGTAGCTGACGTGCAAAAACCCTCATATGGGAAGGTTGTCGTGGGTATCAAGGTGGGAATATTGCAACTTGACTATCCGGCTGTCTCATTAACAAAGCATATACTTTGTGCCTGCCCCGCTGGGGACCGAATCAGCTCTTTAGATCTGACCTGAAAGACCACTCATCATACAAACTAGTCGGCTTTGTTAAGAAGCTGGGTTTATTTGGCTGAGTGTGAATAGGTGTGAGCCACAATAAACCCTTGGGGGTTGCGGTGGAGGGTCAAATAGACCCACTCTCTTTGGACCTAACCTAACATAACCTAACCTATGTGTTTGGTCAAATGCAGTGTTCAGTAAATTTCTATATTAATTTTACCTCTACGGCGAAGGCAAGTCGTTTTTTCTCTCCTCCGGACAAGGCTTTATTTTCATCAATACCTCCTATTCTACTATTTATGCAACTCGACAAGCCAAGTTGTTTGAGCAGATCGGAGATTTTTCTTCTTTTCTCCGAACTTTTGATCCGCCTGTCTAGCTTGAGGTTAGCCTGAAATCGATATAAACTTGAGCTCAGTAGAACTACTGCATAAATGCACGAATGTGAATATAACTAAATTTATTGTTTTCACCAATTTGGGGTAGCACTGGAGGGTCTATTGAGGGATTATTGACATTTTCACAAGATGAAATATTTTGTTTCGTATTCAAGAATTCTTGATTGATTTTCATGTTCATTATTTTTACTAAATGATAATGACGCCAAGTATAGAAATTGTATGAATAGGTACAGTATTTTGACCATTACACGTTGTTTTAAATATACTCACTTTGTCAGCTTTGAAGCAATTTAATACAAAATTACTGACACTGAATAAATAGGCATAAATCAAGTCTTCTCTCTTATTATGCCTTGTACTGAAAATATGAGTGGAAATTTCAAATGCTGAGATTTGAATTCGGGATGGTGTATGAAATGGAGAAAAGTTAAAAAAGAAAGAATGAATTGAACATATAGAATAATGAAATAATGTGCAAATAAAGATAATTCAAATCAACGTGATGTAAAAACTATTTGGGAATTTGATTCAAAATAAAGTACATAAATTTGAATTCAACTCGCAACTACCTGCATAAGGTGTTTGATATTTGGAACTCTATTTTGAACTTTGAATGAAGGGAAGATCAAAATGTTTCTTCCAAAAAAATTTTGGTTATCAAAGCAGTCAAAACTTTACGTACGAACAAATATTGTGAACAAGCATACAGGATACCAAATGGCGGCATAGCATTTCACTTTCGATACAAAATAATAGGGTTATTTTGAAGATGTGTATTTTTCAATGTCAAATGATAATTTCACTTTTTCTTCCAATGTATTACAATACTCGAAAACAATTTTTTCGAATTTTCCAAATGGAATACTCTATATTTACGTCATACCATTATATTCATGTGTTCTCTGACAGTAAGGCAGGGTACAAATATGTCATCTTGATGCATGTAACCGCTCAAAAATTTCATATAATCTCCTATTGGTCTTCCGTTGATTAGAATATCTCCTTCAATATCCATTCCACCTAGAAAAAATATATTATTTCACATATATACAATCAAGGGTTTTGAAGTTGACTTGCCTCGCGTCCTATAGGCCAATGCCGACATCAATGTACTTTTACCGGCTCCACTGAAACAGATCATTTTACATTTCATAGTTGTGAGGATTAAGAAAATAACTTTCTTTGTTCTTGTATCCCTTTTTATATGATTCTAATACCGGTTTCCAGTTTCCACGTCAAAAATCAGACCCTTGGTCTGAGAAAAACTGTTTCAATCCATACGACTTTTTTCAAAGAAATGGAATCAAGAGTTGAACTTAAAATTTATATTGACGCAGACACCAAATTTCATAACTACAAAAATGAAAATATTCATAATTATTATATATTATGTCTCAGTAATTTGAAACCATGTGGAAAAATTGTATGATTAAGTTTAGGGCAAACACATATATTTCTCATAAGAAGTTATGCAAAGACTCACACTCGAAATGCATTAACTGGTTTTCAAATTTTTTCAGTAAATCACAGGGTTCGTATGAATTTTGTTCAAGGAAACTACCTTTAAGAACATAAAATCACTTTCAAATATGTAATTACAATAATTTACTATGAAAACATCAGTTCACTTATTTTTCCAATTCTACTTCAATAATCAATTCTTATGTATTTTATAAATTCTTACGCGTTTATTCGTTCACTGTTAAATAGTTCATGAGTGCATCCTAAATTACATAATAATCTTAGTTGAGTTTTTTGCTGTAGAGATATATTTCGAGAAATAAAAACAATATCGTTAATTATTGCACCATGATCAACTTTTTCCAATAAATATTGTCATGAATACATTTTTTTTGATCCTGAGCGGAATTCATATTTTTTAACAAACCTCGTATACGACTGAAATCAATTGATAACTGATTGTTCATTTTAAAGAATAATGTTTTTTTCCTGAAATCAATAATAAAAAGTAACTGATAAAATGATACCAAGTTAGTGAGACACTAGATTGTAGTATATTTGCATATCTGTGCAAACTTTTAAAATTACTTCTTATATATTCTGAATT